GAAGAAAAACTTTAATACAAGTTTAACATAACAGCAAATGTACAACGTTTCAACAAGGTTTTGTCATCATCACCTTATTGATACGTTGTACATTTGCTGTTATGTTAAACTTATATTAAAGTTTTTTCATTACCCATTCAAGCCCTCTCCAAGCATTATTAATTTAGGCTAACTATTACAGCACACTACTCACATTGAATTGAGATACTTGGGGAGTCGAAATGTTTTAACCCATCAGTGCTTTCACTCAATAATTATTCATATTTGAAGGCCCTTCCTTCATGGTGTCTTAACACCAACTACTGATCTGTCTAGGGCAGATACTGACCATGTGATTCAAAAGGAAATTCAATGAGGATAGGCTCATTGCTAGATGAAGGGTGCTGATATTGTGTAATGTCTAACCAGGCAACATTTTAAATACTTCTATTATATTCTTGAAATACATTAAATGATCATCTATTCATAGATAATTATCAGAATTATTTAAAACGTATTGAAGACTTCAATACATGAAAGTTCATCATAGACTTTGGTAATGCACTAATATATTTTCAAGTATTTTAACTTTTACTACACAAAGGATTATTTATTAAGAGAGCAATTCAAGAATGATTTAAAGTCTATAAAATGTTCTCCAGTTTTTGTAAGACCTTTTTATGGACTTCTACTATTCCAAGTGGGTAAATTTGAGCCCACAAGATGACATCAGTGGGATTTTACTTTAGATCATCTAATACTACGAAGTTAGCTTTATAGTAAAACAAAAGCATACCACCAAGTGTGGGTTCTTCATTTTTATCTTGGCACTCTTTTAGCTTCTGGTTCAGACAAAACCTAGTTCTATCTGGATCTATGCCTACAAGACCAGACTGTAAAGGAAGAAATTCTAGGTTTTTTGCTCTTAATTTCTCTATCACTGGTGAAGCATAGGCATTCATGAGTTGAGCAACGACTTCATAATATCCTGTAAAATAAAAAAGTTAATCTCAAAACTTACTCCAGTAAAATGAAAATATAGTTCAGCTCAGAGGTGAAACTCTAAAAAAAAAAGTAGAGGTGCTCAGCTGGGTGAAGTGAACCTGTATTTAAAAAAGAAAAATAAATCATGTGTAAACATAAAAAATGACAAAGCAGCTCAAATATGTCCTGGTATTAGTACCATCTTAAAAAATAAGTTCCAGTACTCAGCACCAGTGAGAATTTCCGGTGGCAGAATTTCAGCTATAATGTTCACATCATCTCTTTAATATTTACAATAAACATTAAAATGTGTGTAAGATTGTTAATAAATAGAAAAGAAAAGACTAGTTAATGATATTTAGGTATTTAGGTATTTTATGTACGCGAAAAACAAAATAATACAAATTTGTACATGATGGATTAATATACAATATTAAAAAAAACCACACCAAAATCTTGCAGATGTTATACTTTAGTTTTGAAAGCAAACAAGTTAGGCATGGTATTATTTAAAACTTTTTTAAAATTTCTTAGGTATGGTAAACATGATATTGAAATAAAAGGTCATTATGCATATGAAAATATTAATGTATGTAAAATATAGATTTTATTTTTGATTAATATATATATATAGCAGTAGGTTCAAAGCTAAACTGTTTGTAAAAGAAAATAAACAGTCTCTTACCTAAATTATTAGCAGACAGTTTCATGAAAAAGAAAATCTTAATACAATTTTTAAAATTACTGAGTTTGATTTATATGAAAGTTTGTACTATTAAATGGTTTTATAAGTACGATTCTTCAGCTACTATTGGACCTTTTTCAACCAAAATACTAAAGATGAGTGATTATTTACAGCTTATACTCTAAATTAAAAAAATAATTAAATTATCCCAGAAATCTTGTAATTTATATTTTGTATTTAATATAAATTATAAAATAATTCATCATACAGATATGAAGTTTGTTGAGTGTTTAATACATATACAATATATTTTAAATGTACTTCGATGTTAAAAAATTATTAAATAATAAAATATTATAAATTTGCATTTGACAGAGAATAATCTTTTTCCAGTTACTGAAAATATAAATTATGTAATGAAAATTCCAACCATTTAAGTATACTGTTTTTATTTGAGATTTAGGACTGCAACTTTGTTTTATCTTCAATGAAACAGGTGCACTGTTGTTCTGTTTTTCAACTTCATTTTCAACTGATGACAGCCAAACAGATGATGATTCATCCACTGTAGATTTTAAAGTTTCTGCAAAAATAGCAAGTTGTACTTTAGAAGAAAAAGAATCAAATAAAGTATCTTTATTCTTAATAGTAAACTGGAACTTCAACATACTAGTTTAAACCTTTGGATAAACAGCAGCTACATTAATACATCCACACTCTGTTATAACAAGTCTTTGTTTTTAAACTTTTGTTAATTAAACTGCACACTATCTTATGAGCTCTTCTTTTCAATGTATTCGTAAAGTCATGCAGCTTTCTCCACTAACTGGAAGTACCTGTATAGTCATATTTTTATAAACATCTACAAGTAGTTCTGTTTGTACTACATTTTAACCAAGATAGCCAAATGAGTGTAAGGAAACAAAACAATTTTATTCCATTTAATGCTGAAAAAGTAGTTTTCAACCTTACTAGGATACTACTGGATGGAGAGTACATATAGCTACACACTGAATAAAATAAGTCAGAAAGTGAGTAAAAAAAACACCACCTAATATGTTGGGTAATGTGCATGATTAAAAGGCCCACAACTTGTTTTTGCCACGATAACTATATAAAAGTCTGCAGAAAAATATAATATGGGTCACAACAGTCAGGCTCATATTCAGAAATACATTTGGTTGATATATATCAAACTATTTTAGGACTTTGAGGATATAGTTTGTATGTAATTTCTAAGCAAGGTAGTCATTATATACAATACGACTACCCACTTTTTATATTAACTGAACTTACTTTTAGTATTAAAACATAAAGCTTGTGTGGAATAAATGAAAGTAACGTGATTTATTTGTGAAGTCAGGCTTAATTTTACTTACTTATTCAGAATGTATAATGTATATTAGAAGACAGGTTGAAGTTCTGAATGTATAAACTATAAAACTTTCAAGGTTGGATGCATTGGTCACTGACTACAAAGTATTTCGAATAATTTCAGTTAACAGAATATGGAATTATCTTATGATTTTACCTCCCATTTCCATTATACCTGGATTCTGTTTTCATGATAACCATGCAATGGTGGAAGAACTTAAGTAATGTGATAGGATTGAGCTTGCTGATGGTGGCTGTTGTAAGAGCTGGCACAGTTAGGGGTCTGGGATGCATGATATTCCATATGAAGCTAGGTGGATTGTACATCCACTAGTGTTTGGAACAAATGTGTCTTGACATCACATGGCAAGTGCATTCACTACAAATGATGTAAAGCACAGAATGCATGCTACCTCTAATTCTAACTGGTATTTTCAAAAAGAGGTCAGATCAAGGCCTGGTTGGTCATGACATCTTAACCTTACATCCATGACTGGGCTTCAAACTTATCACAGGTTGGGTTAACTCTATGTAAACAGGCTTGGTACATTGGACTAAGTTCATACTGGAGAATTAACTAGAACTATAGTTTTGAATTTACTTCATGTATTTTTAAGAAATATGACAATCTCTCAGTAGGTGTGAAAAGTATGTTGTACACAAAAAATCAGATTATTTGATAAAGTATATCTGCTAAAGATTCATCCGAGAATTTACTGATTCTGTTTGCATGAAAGGTGAATTTTATTATAAGAATAAAAATATTTATTTTCATTTTAAAGTTTCATATTTCATTGCATAACCTCTACAACCTCCTAAATATATATCAAAAGTTTTTTTTAGTGACATACTTAATTCCACAGTTTTTAATAGACATTATCTAATTACAATGAAAAGAATTGTTGAAAAACCTGAAATAAATTTAGTAACACAGTCTTTTAAGTATTGACCGTGATGTTACAAATCACTTATATTCACAGTTTAACTCTTCACTCTTTTAGTAAACATATTTTCTGTTGTGTTTAATTTTTGCTGCATGGCAAAGGAATTCCTCCCAGATAATAATACAATAAACCAGGGCATGAGCCATTAAGTTGTTTCCAGCAAACCATAACATCAGGTCTGAGAAGCATGCAAACACACAAAGCTCTTAGTTACATCTCAGTAAAGCAATAAGCTAAGACGAAAATCTACTTTATGGCTTAGCAATATCTATTGTGTAAGTAATTTTTGCCAAACTATGAAGATCAAGGGGTAGAAGGAAAAAAATCTAAAACGAGCAATTTGTCATGCAGATGCATCATGTTATATCGAGAGATGAAGTTTGAGATATTGAATATTTTCTTTTGAAATTAAAACTTATTGTAATATTAAAATCTGAATCATAACCTATGTTTTGATGTTAAATTTATTGGCATACATTCATAAAAAAAAGGTTTGAGAGATGCACACTTTGAGCTGAGTACAAGAATAATACATGTTCAGTAAACAAATTATAATTAAATATTAAAACTGGCCTACAAATTACAAATCTGTAACTTAGCATAGTGGTATTTTTGACAAATACAATGACATTTCAATTACTACATATTACATACATGTTTATATATTATTAATATTTACTCATAAGTGCTTAAATTTTAGTTATTTTCATTGAAACATATAATGATAAATAAAGACATTCCTAAAAACCAATAAT